GAGCACTTTTTCTTCCACTGACACCAACAAGGGAGCATAATTCCTGCTACTGATATTAACAACAGGCACTATTCCTCCCACTGACACCTACAATGGGACACTATTCCTTCCATATACACCAACAATTGGCCACTATTTCTTTCACTAAAACAAACCATGAGGCTCTATTCCTCCCACTGACACTAACAACGGGGCACCATACTTCCCACTGACACCAATGATGGGCACTATTTCTCCAACTTACACCAAGAATAGGGCACTATTCCTCCCCTAATGCCAAAGATGCATTGTTTACTCTGAATGATGCAGGACAATTTCTACTCCCAATGGCCACAGTCTGGCCCCCCTAAAGTCTGAAAGCCAGTAAACTGGCCCTTTGTGTAGAAAGTTTGGAGACCCCTGGCTTAAAGCAAATAATTTCATTGCTATAAGAAAGCATTTACCTGAATGACATCGATTAATTCAGTTTTTTTGTGATTGGCCACAGCTAATCACATAACACAGATGGGCTGTGATTGACCCGGTCTGTACCATGTGATCACTGTAACCAATCACAGCTAGGAACACAATTGTATACAATGGATGACATGAAAGGAAGCCATACATTGTTTACAATTGTCATGTGACCTGCTGTGATTGGTCACAGCAATCACATAGTATCAGCAATGGGCTGGTACACAGATTAGACATGGGCTGTGTCTGATGGACACCAGCCAGTGACAGATCTCCCCACAACGCGCCTTTTGAGCGTACACAATGCAGCAATCCAGGAGGATGTTATATGATGTTCACCCAGATCGAGGGAAGGCCCATCCGGCCGTCATTTTACTATAGGCTGGTGGGAACTGATGAATTAACATCCAGCAGCCAGTATTAGTGCAGTGATATGGTACTGTGACTGAATACCTTCTTCTGAAAATGGTTGTTATATTGCTTTCTGAGTTGCTGCCCTACCTGGAAGTATGCACACAAGGAAAGTCAGAAGTCCTTATCTGCATACTAAGCTCTGGGTTAGTGACTGTAACTAGTAACAGGGTCAGCGTCATAGCCAGGTAACTAGCATTTGTAGAATACGTTACCTCGGATATTATTAACTTTAAGGTCCTCTGCAAAGAAGACTATTAATACCTCTCCAGCAGGTGGCAAATCAAAACTCACCCCTCTTTACCAGCTTCAAGTGAAAAATCGTCAGAATCTGAAACACTTTAGAGTCTCTAAAGAGGCACAGCACTGCAGACGCTACCTGTCTTGAGACATGATCTGCGTAATTGAAAGTTCACAAGTGGGTTTTTAGAAAGGATTAGTCATTGTAATGAGTCATCTAATTCTTTCAGCTTGAGCTACAGAATTTGGTAAACAACTGACTGTTTTCATCAAAGTTGCTAGGAGAGCCTGTGAGCATGTGAAAAGGAGCCAAGAGATCTACCTGATAGTTAAAAATAAAAACCATACAAATACAAATATCCCCATTTATTTGCCTTCATTTTTTATTATTATTCCTGCTCATAATAATTAAAGAAAGAAAATATCTCCAAATCCGCTTTGCATTCTCAACAAAATGTTTGCTGCAAACATACACTTTAACTATAGACATTAGATGATCATCACCAGGAATGAGGATGGCAAACATCAGAGTTAAAAGTAGAGTTTGAAACATTTAATTGCCACCACAGCCCTGTTCTTTTCTTTTCAGCTCTGACAGGTTGTAATAGGTTGTTTGTACGCCCTAGGGATTAGGAAGCAGTGTAAAAGGCCATTATAACTAACGAATTCATTTGGGATAAGGGAAAAAGCTAGAAAAGACCAAACTGTATTATACTTTAAACACTAATGCCTGACTTTCTATTTAACTCATACAAACTTTTTTTTTTGGTTGGCGTACAATGATACAGAAAATTACCTAACCAGAGTTTTGAACGTTTCTTAAGTTTTCAGTGGTCGACAGTTTTTGTTCACCCAGTTTTTTACTGCATTATACTAGAAGAACATGACTTAAATTATTGGGTCAGTGTCTGAGATATCTCAGCTATGGGCTTGACAGCTTTCAGGCTTGTAAAGATATTGTTTGTTTAATCCAAACCACCTGATGGTATAGAAGGAGCCCTGCACAGTTATGTGTACAGAGCTATGGATACTATGACAGCCATTTGAAATTCTTCTTTCTCTGAGATGACTAAAATTAGCAGAAATCTAATACGATTATTGCACTTTGCATAACATTGCTGTACTTTGCTAAAAAAACCCAGTCTGTTGAAGAAGCAGACTATTAAATTTAAAGGGAAGCCTGTTAAAATTATTAAATATATATTTAAAAAAAATTGTTTTACTGCAGTCTGTGCGATGGAGAAGCAGCTATATAAAGTTAAGGGTATGACACCCTACAAATGTGTATCTGTGCTCACCTACTCAACTACAGGTCAGTAGATAGAGGGAAATGTGTTCCACAGGGGTTTCAGAGAGTCTTTGAAGGACAAAGGTACAGTGTCTCTGGAAAGGGAATCCCCTGACCCCCATATACTTTTCTATGTGCGCTCCTGTACAGTTCCTTGCTCATCTGCGGCCAGAGCCACACTATCTTACTACCTATTAATGTTCTTTGCGGTATAAGCAAGGAAAATTAAAAACCTCTGTAGTGTATTAATTTGCTTTTACTAAACAAAAATGCTGTACGTACAAACTTTTACAATTTTAGAAACACAATACAAGACTGACACTATCATTTGAGAAGAGCACATCCTCACAATCGCAGTTGTGGGGCATGACAATAACACATACCCTAGCTTTACTAACAGGTTTACAGTTCTTCTTTTTCCTTAAGGCATTAATTGGTTTGGTCATGAGGGTTGCACACTGCTCTTCAAAATCATCAGTCTGAACATACACACTCCAAAGCGACTGCTAGCTGGTCTTTGTTTACCTTAGTTTCTGCCAATGCCTTCTCCCTCCTTTATAATTCAGTATAGAAAGCATGAAGGAAGTACCAACCAACTTGGGATGCTGTCTTCTCTGCTTTACTTAAAGTTTACAAATTATCTGAGACTTTATCAGCCCAAGTTTTATTCAAGGGAGAAGCATACTTTACACATTCCTTAACAAGATCTTAGCACTCATTTTTTCTCTGGCTCAGGTAGGCAGGTTGCACATCTTCTCCTGGACACTGGAAACCTCTGCAGCCTTGCTTTTCCTAAACAGCTTATGGAGCATTTTTTTTAGAACAAGCAACAAAACACACCACAGAAAACATGTCTGCTTCAGTTGAATGGTCATAGAAATCCCGGATGAGCCCCCAACTCTTTTGCTTTGCATCGTTTAGGTTGTTTACTTTATGTGCAAGAAAGCTTAGAAACCTCTGTAGTGTATTAATGTGCTGTTACTAAACAAAAAAATGCTGTACATACAAAGTATTACAGATATAGGAATACAATACAAGGCTGACAGATATACATACAACAAGCAACTTTCTAGTGAATAAGCATGAACTATGATTTGTATACAGTAGGAATACACTAAAAGCTGATTCACACATGTGCGTGCAGATTGAATCTCAGGTTCCAGAGCTAATTGATACAGTAGTTATTCAGCAGTTCATGTCAGGTTTACATCAGGTTCAGGACAGGATTAGCTCTCAGGATTATCCTGTTCACACATATGCGGTTTAGAAACGGTTCCTATAGAAGTCAATAGCCGGTAATGCATACCTGAACCAAGCCACACTGCTCAGAAATCGTATATGACTCAAGCCACACTGAATCTGCACTGAATACGCACTGCCAGTGCACCAGATATATGTGAACAGACACCATAGGAAGCAATGTTTTTTCATGTCATTGTATGTGGTTCAAACTGCATTCAAGCCGCATATATATGAACCGACGCTTAATGTTACTTAGCTCAGGCAATAGCAGCTTCATTCAGAGGTGAGTGGGCGGAAGGAGTGCTATGACAGATCTATCCTGTGTGCGTTTGGGGATGGACCATCAGCAATGGGGGTTAGTAGAAGGTCCATGTGGAGGTGGTGTCAAAGTCCATCTGTAGTGAGGGGCTTATAGTAGTATGGACTTGTCTGAGGAGGCAGCCAGCTGTAAGAGCTTGTAGATACTCCTAATGCAGGTAGAGAAGAGAGACAGCAGCGCCACACTAAGTGTAGACTGTTAAAATAAGGCAGATTTAATGGTAAAATTGCACTGAGCGGCCTGACGAAGGAGTGAGCATGCTCCAAACGTGTGCCATCTAGGAAACCCAGTGCATGTGGAGACATCATCCCCATGAGCCTCCCTGCACCCCTCTGCTACTCCCCAAGCCCTGGACACCACCGGAGCGGCGGGGGGAAAACACCCAGAGTGTAGTCAAAGGACCTGATGCTCTCAATGGACCTCCATTACTTGACAAGCCTACCTGTTACCTACCTATGTGAGTGCAATTTTACCATCATATCTGCCTGATTTTAACCATCTACACTTAGAGTGGCACTGCTGTCTCTCTTCTCTATAGCAGCTCAGCTTCATGATCCCTATAGGCAGCCAGGACCTCCAGCTATTTCAGGTGATTGCAGAAACCAGATGCTAGCATCATCCATGTGCAGTTTCTTCTGGCACAGACCTTCCTTGTTGTTATGCCATCTTGGAGTCCCCCTTACAGCTTATGTTTTTGGTCTTTCATTTAGAAAGTTTGGGTAGACAATCCCACATGGGTGTGGCCCTTTTCGCACTATTAAGTTTGTATTGGCAAACATTTCCCACCTCAACCTCTAAATGGCATTGTTGTATCATACATGTCAAAAAGTCAAGCTGTTGTTGACATTACTTACATAGCTGTTTGACAGTCCATGACACCTGTAAAAACAATAGAAGAAGCTAAAAATGTTTACCTTTCCTAATTGAGTGTATCAGCACAGCTAGTGCAAACATTCTAAGGACATCTGTTTTGATAAGTATCCACTCAAACGTGTTAAGAAAACCTGAACAAAATACAACTAGATTAATATATTAAACTCAATAAACCTGGCACTTCCAAGTATGGAGGAGCATATGCCTGCTCCCCTGAGAATTGCCATATGGCTAGGGGAGAGACGTAACCCTTCCCGTGGTCCTAGACACAGCTGATTTCATCATTAGCTGCATGGGCCCAATAGCTGCAAGGGAGTGCAGGTAAGGTAAGTATATGGGAGTTAGGAATGCCCTATCTAGAAACACCATCATTCTGCCCTAAATGTAAGAGTCAGCTTAAATCCAAAACTTTTTCTTTTGAACAGAGCCAGGAATAACGGTTACCAGTACAAATGTTAAGCAATATTCATTTTAAAAAAACAAAAGTTTAAAAAAAAAAACCTTTTTTACTCTCACCAGTGCCTCCTTCAGGAGTACAGACAGGTGAACCAGCTACATCACTAACTTAGTCTCAAAATACCAACCAGAACATTCTCTTTGTTCCTCCTAAGACCACCTGCATGACTTCTCCTGAGCATCTCTGATCCTAAGTAACTCCATACGCCAGTCTGTCTGGCTATCTCCTACTCTCTCTACTTTCAGGTGATCCCTGAAAACCCTTCTCTTCAGAGAAGCCTATCCCACCACCACCTAACAACTTTATTTCCACTTTCTCCATCAGCTCATTCCCCACAGGTATTACTTTTTGTATAACTTTACCCTCCCTTTTAGATTGTAGACTCTAATGAGCAGGGCCCTCTGATTTCTCCTGTATTGAATTGTATTGTCACTGTAGTGTCTGCCCTCATGTTGTAAAGTGCTGCACAAACTGTTGGCACTATATAAATCCTAAAATTGTGGAAAGTGAAGCGAGCACTAGAAACATGAAATAAAATAAAAGCAGCTGAACACACTAAAAGGTAAACCATTTGCCTTCAAAGTGATCTAAAGTTGTGTTGGTGCAGTGCTAAAACAATATACATAAAAAAACCCAATTCAAATGACATAAACGCACAAAAGAAGATAAAATGCGTTTTGCTCATAAAACATACTTGCACAGTAATTATAAACTCATTATGCAAATGTCCACAATAAACGCATAACATACAATGCGTAAGGATCATAAAAAAAAGTCAATAAAATCTTAAAATAAGTTCTGATCTCCAAGTGACTTCAGTAAAATCCCAGTGTGCTTATTCTCCTTAGGTGGGTGTGCCGATAAATATATACAAAATGCGCACTCACCAGATGCGCTAATAAAAAGCGCGTTGTATCATATAATCCTGGTCATTCACGGGTCCCTTAGGGGTAATCCGGGCGCTTATTTCTGCCAGGTTACCAAATCTTTTCAGTAACCTCCAGTGAGGGTCCCAGTGCCTTGGAAGAGGCTGAACTATCTGTATTGGCTATCATATCCTGGTACTTAAAGGAGGCCATCTACCCCCAGTCTACATCCCTGGTTTTAAGATTTTATTGACTTTTTTATGATCCTCACGCATTGTATGGTTATGCGTTTATTGTGGACATTTGCACCTTCATTCACTTATATATCTGTTAGACCGTAATGAGTTTATAATTACTGTGCAAGTATGTTTTATGTGCAAAACGCATTTTATCTTCTTTTGTGCGTTTATGTCATTTGAATTGGGTTTTTTTCTGTATATTGTTTTAGCGCTGCACCAACACAACTTTAGATCACTATATAAATCCTGAATAATAATAATGAAATGTCCATACAACCTAAGTGATGTAAGTAGAGATGAGCGAATCGAACCTGGCGAAGTGGAATTCGTTTCGAATATTAGGAAAAATTTGATTCGCGCCGAATCCGAATATTAGCAAACTTCGGATGCACGAATCAAATTTTCCCCGATCGGCCGATTTTCATCCCTTCTACAGCCGGCAAAAAGTGTCCCTGCAGAGAGCTCCGCTATTTCTGACAGTTCTCTGACAGTTCCTTCACATTTACAGCAGTTGAAACATTGTATCTATTTGTTTCCATTTAGGATGTTTTTATTCGGAAACAAATAGATACAATGTTTCAACCGCTATAAATGTGAAGGAACTGTCAGAGAACTGTCAGAAATAGCGGAGCTCTCTGCAGATACACTTTTTGCTGGAATGGAATTCTTCTTCATCCTCATCCTACTTCTTCTTCTTCTTCTTCATCATCCTCATCCTACTTCTTCTTCTTCTTCTTCTTCCTCATCCTACTTCTTCTTCTTCTTCTTCTTCCTCATCCTACTTCTTCTTCTTCATCATCCTCATCCTACTTCTTCTTCTTTCATCCTCATCCTACTTCTTCTTCTTCTTCATCCTCATCCTACTTCTTCTTCATCCTCATCCTACTTCTTCTTCTTCTTCTTCATCCTCATCCTACTTCTTTTTTCTTCTTCTTCATCCTCATCCTACTTCTTTTTCTTCTCTCTTCATCCTCATCCTACTTCTTCTTCATCCTCGTCCTACTTCTTCTTCATCCTCATCTACTTCTTCTTCATCCTCATCCTACTTCTTCTTCATCCTCATCCTACTTCTTCTTCATCCTCATCCTACTACTTCTTCTTTCTTCTTCTTCATCCTCATCCTACTTTTTTTTTCTTCTTCTTCATCCTCATCCTACTTCTTCTTCTTCATCCTCATCCTACTTCTTCTTCATCCTCGTCCTACTTCTTCTTCATCCTCATCCTACTTCTTCTTCATCCTCATCCTACTTCTTCTTCTTCTTCTTCTTCATCCTCATCCTACTTCTTCTTCTTCTTCATCCTCATCCTCATCCTACTTCTTCTTCTTCTTCATCCTCATCTACTTCTTCTTCTTCTTCATCCTCATCCTACTTCTTCTTCTTCTTCATCCTCATCCTACTTCTTCTTCTTCTTCTTCATCCTCATCCTTCTTCTTCTTCTTCTTCATCCTCATCCTTCTTCTTCTTCTTCATCCTCATCCTTCTTCTTCTTCTTCTTCTTCATCCTCATCTTCTTCTTCTTCTTCTTCTTCTTCTTCATCCTCATCCTTCTTCTTCTTCTTCTTCTTCTTCATTCCTCATCTTCTTCTTCTTCTTCTTCTTCTTCTTCTTCATCCTCATCCTTCTTCTTCTTCTTCTTCTTCATCCTCATCCTTCTTCTTCTTCTTCTTCCTCATCCTTCTTCTTCTTCGTCTTCTTCTTCTTCTTCTTCATCCTCATCCTTCTTCTTCTTCATCCTCATCCTTCTTCTTCTTCTTCATCCTCATCCTACTTCTTCTTCTTCTTCTTCATCCTCATCCTACTTCTTCTTCTTCTTCTTTTTCATCCTACTTCTTCTTCTTCTTCTTCATCCTCATCCTACTTCTTCTTCTTCTTCTTCTTCTTTTTCATCCTACTTCTTCTTCTTCTTCTTCTTCATCCTACTTCTTCTTCTTCTTCTTCTACTTTTTCTTCTTCATCCTCTTCTTCTTCTTCTTCTTCTTCTTCTTCTTCATCCTACTTCTTCTTCTTCTTCTTCATCCTCATCCTACTTCTTCTTCTTCTTCTTCTTCTTTTTCATCCTACTTCTTCTTCTTCTTCTTCTTCATCCTACTTCTTCTTCTTCTTCTACTTCTTCTTCTTCTTCTTCATCCTACTTCTTCTTCTTCTTCATCCTACTTCTTCTTCTTCTTCATCCTCAACTTCTTCTTCTTCTTCTCTTCTTTCTTCTTCATCCTACTTCTTCTTCTTCTTCTTCCTACTTCTTCTTCTTCTTCTTCTTCTTCTTCATCCTACTTCTTCTTCTTCTTCTTCTTTCATCCTACTTCTTCTTCTTCTTCTTCTTCTTCTTCTTCATCCTACTTCTTCTTCTTCTTCTTCTTCTTCTTCTTCATCCTACTTCTTCTTCTTCTTCTTCTTCTTCTTCATCCTACTTCTTCTTCTTCTTCTTCATCCTCATCCTACTTCTTCTTCTTCTTCTTCTTCTTCTTCATCCTACTTCTTCTTCTTCTTCTTCTTCTTCTTCTTCTTCTTCATCCTACTTCTTCTTCTTCTTCTTCTTCTTCATCCTACTTATTCTTCTTCTTCTTCTTCATCCTACTTCTTCTTCTTCTTCTTCTTCTTCTTCTTCTTCTTCTTCATCCTCCTTCTTCTTCTTCTTCTTCTTCTTCTTCATCCTACTTCTTCTTCTTCTTCTTCTTCTTCTTCTTCATCCTACTTCTTCTTCTTCTCCTTCATCCTCATCCTACTTCTTCTTCTTCTTTTTCATCCTACTTCTTCTTCTTCTTCTTCATCCCTCATCCTACTTCTTCTTCTTCTTCTTCTTCTTCTTTTCATCCTACTCTTCTTCTTCTTCTTCTTCTTCATCCTACTTCTTCTTCTTCTTCTACTTCTTCTTCTTCATCCTACTTCTTCTTCTTCTTCTTCTTCTTCTTCTTCTTTCATCCTACTTATTCTTCTTCTTCTTCTTCATCCTACTTCTTCTTCTTCTTCTTCTTCTTCTTCTTTCTTCATCCTACTTCTTCTTCTTCTTCTTCTTCTTCTTCTTCATCCTACTTCTTCTTCTTCTTCTTCTTCTTCTTCTCTTCATCCTCTTCTTCTTCTTCTTCTTCTTCTTCTTCTTCTTCATCCTACTTCTTCTTCTTCTTCTTCTTCTTCTTCTTCTTCATCCTCATCCTACTTCTTCTTCTTCTTCTTCTTCTTCTTCATCCTCATCCTTCTTCTTCATCCTCATCCTTCTTCTTCTTCTTCTTCTTCATCCTCATCCTTCTTCTTCTTCTTCTTCATCCTCATCCTTCTTCTTCTTCTTCTTCTTCTTCATCATCCTCATCCTTCTTCTTCTTCTTCTTCTTCTTCATCCTCATCCTTCTTCTTCTTCTTCTTCATCCTCATCCTTCTTCTTCTTCTTCTTCTTCTTCTTCTTCATCCTCATCCTTCTTCTTCTTCTTCTTCTTCATCCTCATCTTCTTCTTCTTCTTCTTCTTCTTCTTCATCCTCATCCTTCTTCTTCTTCTTCTTCTTCTTCTTCATCCTCATCCTTCTTCTTCTTCTTCTTCTTCTTCATCCTCATCCTTCTTCTTCTTCTTCTTCTTCTTCATCCTCATCCTACTTCTTCTTCTTCTTCTTCTTCTTCTTCATCCTCATCCTACTTCTTCTTCTTCTTCTTCTTCATCCTCATCCTACTTCTTCTTCTT